TCTCCTCCTCTTCCTCAGCCCGCTATGGCACCGATACATATGACTGACGCCCCTGGGGTGAGGGTTTTGAGTATTCCTTATGAAAGCATTGGCTCGATCGTCGGCCCGGGAGGAGTGGTGTTGTGGGCGTTGCAGAACGACTCGGGTGCGAAAGTCGATATGGAGAAAGCGGGGGTTACTGGCCAGCCGAGGCCTCTCACGATCAAAGGAGATAGTATTAAAATTGAAAAAGCGATGGAAATTATACACAGAGTTTTACAAGTAGCGGTATCGGTTGTTATCGATTCGGAAATGGTTTTTTTTCTTAGGGACAATTCAACGTCGATGATGCTATAATGCGCCGTAGGCAAGCGAAGCAACAGTATCAACAGCAGAATGAGGGGACAGCATAGAAACTGTTGTGAGGTTTTTGCAATAATGCATCCAAAAGGAGCTTTTCTTAAGATGATGCTTTATGGTTTGATTACTGTGAGAATCAACAGGAGCAGTATTTCTATCATCGTCATAACTTTCTGAGAGAATTCCTGTCCTCTTCTCTCCGTCAGTGTTGTTGAGTTCAACTCTAGTTGGGATAGCTGTAAATACAACAACCTTGTGACTCGCTGGTCTAATAAAGCCGAGTGCTGTTCATCGTGGTTGTGGTATGCACATCACGGTTGGTCGGCATCGTTGTGGAATCACGTTCTCATATCAAAGTCTTGGAACCGGTGGTTGATATGTCCGCTTTTGAGGCAGCTTGATATTGAGACTTCCACAACGAATCATGAATCAGAATATATTCAATATGAATGAGCAGTTTCTCATCATCTTCTATGGCGGAACGGTGGCGTGATAGCCTCGAAAGCGTGAGGTCGTCAGTTCAAACCTTGCTGCTGGCTTTTTTCAGGCAGCCCTCTCACTTTTCTAAGGTTGAACAGCATCGGATGACCCAAGAACGTATTAGGGCTCGGCCAACTTCCCGAGGAGCTCGAGGGAGAATGTCACCGAAATCCTTGAAGTTTTACGGTTTTTAGCTGAAATTATTTCCACCAACATCCCATCAAAGCGCATCCCCGCTCAGTTCCATCATATGGAATATAACAGAGATGATGAGGAGCAGCCTATTACGATGTAACCCACACTTTGTTGAAACTCAAGGCATTCCTTGTCCGTTGCAAAGAAATAAACATGTTACTTATCGAGTTTGTCAAGGATTTTACTCAAAGTATCTTCCATCTGCTTCTGACGCATCTCCAAATATCGCAACTTGCCTATCGTTTCAACATGCATTCTGTTCAACGACGACACCAACATTTCCATATCCACAGCAGAAGCTCCTCCATCACCACCACCACCGTTCAACATTAATTTCCGCATACTGATTCCTCCAATAGAAGACTGCGAACCTCGACGATCTGGGAAGAGAGAATTGCTCGGACTTTTCTCATCATCCTCGTCCTCCTCATTGCGAATGCTACGATTGCCTATAATTTCCCGTGAAGACTCATCCAATACGTTAGACGATCGATTCACCAACGGCAATGCCGACTTGATGGAATTATTTGTCGTATCAGAACTTGCCGGCCTCGTAGGAGCTCCAATGCGTCTCAGCATTCCCGCCAGCCTCTGTGTGTGGGGGGTCATCGATTTACTTGCAGCTTCCTTCCCCCGAGGAGTAGTTGTCTTCGGCGAGGGAGGCTCCTACAAAAGATGACAATTACTATACAGTAAATCATCCAGAAACCTGTAATGTTCGAATTTTCTTTATTCTTCAGAAAGTTTCCCATGTGAATGTCACCACATTATCAACATTGTTATCAAATCCCTAGGGCTGTTAATTCTCAAAGCTAGATGGGTTCATATATATCAATATGTTGTAATCCCAATATCGATTGGTTAATATAGATATAATCCTCTCTGCGCTCTCATTATGAATATACTTAGATTACAATAATATTAAAAATAGAGAATATTCCCATCGTATCAATTATGATATATATAATAACTATACGATGAATTTATATCTACTTCCTTCTCGTCCTGAATGTTACCTCCTCAATATGATAATGTCGATAAAACGCGACGTTTCTCGCGGGAGTATCCTCGAATTTAACCATTGGACTTTTCAACGACCGCAAATCGTAAACCAACGCCGCATTTTCCGACCCCACAGCCATAGAGGCGCCATCCACTCGTAATGATACGCTCGTCGGTGACACGAGTAACTTCAAATCTTTCAAGAGTTTCTTCTGTCGGACATCAGCAAATCGAATAACTCTGCTGGGTGTCACCGCGGCAACCAGCAAACTCTCATTACACGGGGAAGGTGCGAGAAGACTCGACGAGCTGCGACGACCTCTATCGATTTCAGAGATTTCCGATGGAATAATATGTGTCCAATTTCCGCACGCATGCACATCACCAACGAAAATGCTATAATCGTCGGTCATCATCGAGAAACTACTGCCCGCCGGCACCTCCGTACAACGTAGAGCCGCTACTCCTCCCCGCTCGAGCTGG